TTGCTACGGCCGTAGTGCTTGCATGGTTCCAATATGTCCGACTCATGCAGCGATGTGGATGATCTTACTGGTTCTGCTGAGTCAAGCTCTGGATCGCCCATTTCCCATAGCGACCCAGCCGAGCAAGCTGAACAGTCCTTTTCATTTGCGTGCAATGATGTAAAGTGGAGAGTTATCATCCATGTATACCGCGACCGCCGCCTGCAACAAGGGCGCACTAGACGCTCGGTTTCTGGTTCAAGCGGACGACTGCTTCATGATACAACAGGATTGGACTTTGAAGCCTATAGGCAACGAGTCGAAACAGACTTGCCCTTGGAGGTACGGGAAAGCATCGAGTCATTCCTCCTCATGCTCACAACGATTTGGTCGGTGCAGCTCCCCCTTAATGATCAGCAGTTGGTTCGTGGACTTGGCGGAGCGGATGATTCCGATCAGGCTTCCGCGCTGCAAAGGTTTTAACATCTCTTCTACAGGGCAGCAACCGAACGAGGATATCTGGCAACACAAGCGCGACTCCTTACGTCACTCGCTCCCTGCCTCCGGAGTACAGAGATCAACTGTTGCAATGGATCGCGGAAGTTAGACTTCAAAACCGTGCAAGGTCACGGGAGCTGCAACATTGGTCACGCTCCTCCCCTAGGCAAAACTAGAAGGAAATGGTCCTTCAAATATGGTCTATGCCGCCCTCGTCGTTGTCGACGGCAGCGCAAGACTCGCAGTACGAGCAGGCGGCTGGCTGTGCTTCAGGGGTCGTCTCTTTGGAAGCAGATGCAGTTAAGCTTGCGCTCCACGTGGCGCTTCTTCTGTACGCTGACCTGCTACCCTCAGAGCTCTAACTGCATGGTGGCGAGGCCTGTTGGACTTTCTGGCATAGCAACTTTTAATTCTACAATGATGAGCTCTTTTACAACAAGAAAGCGCACTCGCTCCGGTCCTAAGTCCGGAGTTCGAGCCGGAGGACACCGCTGCCACAGCCAGCTTCAGACATTAATCTACTTTCTGGTCACGACAAGCAACTTCTCCGGCTCGAATGGCGTGAAGGTGGGCCCATCTCCTATGGGTGGGCCGGGAGCTCCCATTTTGGGGGCGAAGCCGCGTGGGAATGTCGCTACATCTGCGGCAGAGGCTGCACGAAAGCGGTCCTTCAGGCGGGCCGTGCGCCGAGCTGCGACATAGGCTCTTGAGACAGCTGTTGTCGGACTTCATGAGGCTGTATTCGCTGAGGGCCGTGCTGCGCATTGGGTCTTGTTGGCTTCCGTATGAAGCATTCCACAGGAAGGTGCCTACAGCCCGTGTGCGGAACGAACGGTGCTTCAGTGGGCTTGGCTTGCTTAGCGACCCCATCTGCGCTCTTGCCCCTCGTCATCACAAAGTGTATTTGAGCGCCATGGCCAGGGCCTGAGTGTACCGCAGGTAGAAACGTCCTTGCCAAAGGTCCGGCCTTTGACCACGTGTTCAGCAAACTGCAAGCACGGGCGCGAACCAACTGCAGGAACTGGTCGTGGTCTGTCTGCACTATAGAGGCCCCTGGTTTGGCAATTCCTTCTCCAATCAGAGATGGCACCGGCTGCACCGGAGTATTGAAGTCTCCCAGTACAATTCTCCGCGGTACGCCTGCAATCCATGTGCCAAGTTCCCTCCAGACCTTACGTCTACGTTGCAGTAGTTGCTGTACCTTGCTGAGACCGCTGATTTCTACTGGATCTGACTGCAAAGGCTTTTTCTGAACATTCCAGGCATGTTAATATACTCCAAGTTTTCCCAGCGGTGGATCGAGCATAAGACGTACATGGAATAATCTGCCAGGGTGAATGGGAGCTGATCTTATCTGCTCCGCGCTGACCAAAGAGGATAAGATAAAGATCATGACCCCTCCCTCTGCGGTGCCAGATCCACTGCGCAGGACGTACCACTGGGGTCCATGCGGTACGTTGGTGGAGGTTTTGTACTCCATGTCCTGCTTCCACGCCGTCTCCTGAACGACCATTACATGCACTGGCCGACCTGCAACATACTCATCACATAACCACTGTGTGATCTCTCTGTATCTCGTGTCGCGCAAGCCTCCGCAGTTCCATGTGATAATCCGAAGTCTGGGAAAATGTGATTTTGCATTGATCGACTTATTCTGATAGCCATCTTGTCTAACAGGTCTTGCTGTAGATGTGGCACCTAATTGTGTAAGGGTGAGATATCGCGTGAGTTGGAAGCCATTCACTACACACATGGACAAGGTCCTCCACGGCCTGGACCATCAAACAGACAGTCTGGACCAGAAGCTACTGGAAGGTTGGCGACAGTGTATTCAAATCGCCCAGCCTCCCAAACCTCAAAGACCATTGCCAACCACGATGGACAGCCAGGAAAGCTTCAGCGACAACATCCATCAGATGTGGCGGCTTCGACAAGGTCTCCGCTCCATGCCGGGCCTTGACACGACAGCGCCAGCCACCGCTCTGCCGCAACAAGTATTTGCAGGATGGAGCAAGGCAGCCACACTCCAGGCCATCACTCGCAAGGTGAGGAAGGCAGGGAGGGATCGCAAGATTCAGAAGGTCAAGCAAGTCCTAGATTCAGGAGACATTTTCAAGACGGCCAAGTGTCTAGCCCCCAAGACCCCGAAGCGTAGGATACAGCTCAGGGATGAACAAGGGAGAATGCAGTCACATGATCAAGAGCACGGTCAGCTGGTGGACTACTTCAGAAAGCTCTATGACGGACTGCGATCCCCTCCATCGCTCGTGACTAAGCCTATCACATTCGAGGAGGAAATCACTGCAGCCATAGCCAAAATGTCTCCCGCCAAGGTCATGCCTTCATGCAGCGCTCCGACTGCGTTGTGGAAGTGGACGTCCAAGTCTGCAGCTCATATACTTCGGCAGCAATTTGAGTATGTTTTCCAACCAGGTGAAGTGCATATGCCCTCTGCATGGAACGTGAGCGAGCTTGTCCTACTTCCTAAACCAGGCAAACCTTTGCGCAAGCCATCAGATCTCAGACCAATTTCGTTATTGCCACCAGAGATGAAGATATTATCCTCAGTCATTGCGGCGTGCATTCGGCCACAGGTGCAGACCTACCTGGCATCGATCCCACAGTTCGCCTACGTTTCAGGCCGCGCCTTGCAAGATGCAGTGACAAGGGTAACATCGCATTGCTCGGAAGTGCGTACTTTAATACAGAGCCAAGCTTGCAACATACACACCAAAAGAGGCGGACGGACCGAGAAAAAATTGTATGGCGGTGTTCAGTTGTCTTTAGACATATCGAAGGCTTTCGATTGTCTACCCGGGGAAGATCTACGACAAGCTCTGGTTGAAGCCCAAGTAGACTCGGACATGATAACGGCCACTCTTATCATACATGATGAAGCACGCCTCCGTATCACCCACTGCGGTCGAAGCGCAGAGGTTGAGACGAAACGAGGAGTACTACAAGGTTCCGGACTGTCTCCAATGCTGTGGGCATTGTTCTCTGGGTATGTACTTAGACATATGGATACGGCGATAATAGATGTGGGTAAAACAAACACGACCTACGCTGACGATTTCCACTTTAGCTGGACTATCACTTCTATGGCAGAGTTTGACAAGGCTTACGCCGCTATCAAGCACGTCCTCCAAGTTCTACAACAAAGAGGCCTCAGCATTAGCGCAGATAAGACAGTCATCATCTTGGACATCAGAGGAAAATATGCCAAGAAAGCTTTGCGCAGGTATGTGGTCAAGACGAGCAAAGGCAGATGCATACGTGTCAAACTTGGCTCACAATGCCTGGATCTCAAAATTGTCGCCAGCCATGTATATTTAGGAATCAAGATTTCCTTCCGCAAATTTGAGATGGAAACAGCACAGCATCGTCTACAGCTCGCCAGGAGCGTCTTCAGCAGACTCAAGACCATCTTGTGTTGCCAAGCCGTTCCTCAAATTTTGCGCCTGCGCCTTTGGCAAAGCTGCGTTCCGCCTAGCCTCCTACATGGTCTTGACTGCACAGGCGTCACAGAGGTCATTGCTGGCAAGATCAGAAGTCTGGTCACTCAACAGCTCCGACAGATAGTCAGATCATACAGCATGTTCACGCATGAGGCCAATGAGGACCTGCTCATCAGGCTGCATGTTGAAGACCCCATCGACCGCGTCTACAAGGCCTTCGATAACCGGTGTTCCAAACCGTCCATGGACTTTGAGCGCCTGCAGGTTTGGGAATCGCATACGCAGTGGCTGAATGTTCTGAGGGGCCGCCTATTTGACAATTCAGAAGCGGCGCGGCAGAGTGCTCAGGATGTCCACATCGGCTCTGCTGGCCAATCTTCTGCTAGAGCTTGGGTGGTGCCAGTCAACCTAGTCACAGAACAATTTATTTGCCATGAATGCGGGTTCGCCTTTGCCACACAAGCAGCCCTCAACAGTCACAAGTACAAGATCCACTTTGCAGAGCAAGACAAGGAGACCAGACAGGCAGAAATTCATAAGCACAAACAACATCCAGCCACAGAACACGCTCGAGATGGCATGCCCACCTGCAAGCATTGTGGACACCAGTTTGAGACGTGGCCGGCTTTTACATATCACGTCAATTCCAGGAACTGTGCTGAAATAAGATTCTTCTATGCTCAAGAGAACAACCGGGATCAGCTAGCCACGCTCCAAGATGCATTGACATATAGAGATGAGCTGCTACAGGCGGCAACCTCTCTCACGTGGCGTGAGATGGCTGAGCTTCACGTGGTCAAACAGCATCACAATCACTGCTTAGAATGTCATCACTGGTGTGCCTCGCCCATGTATGTGAAGCGTCGCATGAAATCCAAGCACCCAGAACTGACAGAGATAGTGCAGGACGTGACAGCCAAAATCACCCAGAGCGATTTGGCTCTCAAAGGCCCCTGTAGATTCTGTGGACAGACCTTCAAGAACAGGCGTGCCAATCTCAGCTCATGTATTGGCGTGTTTAATGGACACTACTTGCTTAGACGACTGGGTCGCAAACCTGTCACAGGACTTCAGCGTGGCCGCAGCACTGGAAGGAGCCGCTGGCGCAGGCCACGAGCGAGTTGGACATGATCCGAGCCTTGACCCCAACTTTGCAAGCGACCCCATCGGCCCCAGCAACTTCGACAGAGGCACCAGCGCCTGTCCCAGACCAGGCCATGGACGCTTCGGACAAGTCCGCCACGAGGGCCAGGACGGAGGATTCAGACGACAAGGGCAAAGACAGGCAGGCAAAACGGTCAAGACCAGCAAGCAAAGGGAATCAGCAGGGCCGAGGCAAAGGTCAATCGCAGAATTCCTCCAAGTGGGAAAACTGGTCGAACTGGAAGGATCACGACAAGGACAAGAGCGACCTAAATCAGCTCAAGCAGCACGTCGACATGCTGACGACCCTGGTTCTCAGACAGGAGCGCCAGTTGATGATAAATCGCCAGGATACCAGCTACATTATCTTCATCAGGACGGATGTGACGCCCAGCCTGGCGGTGATGTCATTCAACATTGGTCAGAGCTGGAAACAGGCCAAAACTTCGAATCCGGAGAGCCTGAAGCACCCCTGGAGAGTCATTCTGTTTCAGCGCCTGCTGACGTCTATGACTGCGGCTCTGGAGAACTTGCTTTCAGGCCAAGGCCTTGGGCTGGATTCAGGGAGACCACTTCACAGGAGTGAAATGGAATGCGGAGAAGAAGATGCGCGAGGTGGACAACAAGATCCCTCCAATCCCGATTCCGCAAACCCTGAACCTCACTCTGGAGGCAACCAAGTTGTGCACGGAGCCGTTCGCCGTCAATCGTTACCATGCAATGAGGCCCTTGGCGTCAGAGTATTCGAGTCCTTCGTTGACGATGATGCTCGAAATAGGACTTCGAACAGCAGAAGCCAACCGACTATGGAGCATCTTCAACAATATTGCCCAGACATCGGTGTGGCTGGCCGTGGGAGCAGCGGTTGCAGAGAAGCGCTCTGGCCAACAGATTCGCGCAGGGTACCGGCAACTAGTGTTGGGAGCTCAGATTGGCAACTCTAGCAACCACTGCTATGCCAATTCCCTGGTGAAGTGTGTATTGTGGTTATGTGAAGACACCACGGAACTACAGGCCATGCTGGGACAGTTGCTTTTCGATGGCGTCAGGCCTGCGCTTACAGGAAGTCCTCACTGCTTGTGGCGCAATGATTCATGGCAGGAAGCAATGACAGGATGGGCGATGCCTCATTCTCAGCACGATGTGGGTGAGTTCCTCAGGTACTTCGTTCAACAGAGTGGTGGCCTTAAATATGCACTAGAGCTTTCATGGGAGGCCAGGCTTTTCAATGGAGCAGACGATGACGCTGTTCGAACGGATGTCACCAACTCAGAAGTCCTTGTCATTGATCCCTACCTTGCGGATGCCACGCACCGCGGAGATTCTGTCATGTTGCAGCACCTTATCCATGCATGGGAAAATCAGGCCTACATTCATGCGCTGACTGAGCGCCCACTGATTCTTGCAATTTTGATCGGGCGTTTCAGCAATGAGGGTGGACGCATCAGGAAGTATCATGGCAAAATAATTCCCAATGAATTCCTGGAGATCCCTGTGTTTGACATCAACAGTTTTCATGCAAAGCGCTACGAGCTGAATTCCTTTGTTGCCCACAGTGGCAGCACGCCCTTCGCTGGCCATTACACTGCTGTTTTTCGACATGGTTCTATGTGCCTGAAAGCTGATGATGGCTTGGTAGCTCAACCGTTAGATGATGTACAGTTTCAGCAGATGTGTAGCCAGGGGCACTTATTCTTTTACCAATCAGTTTAATGTGCCTGTAGCTTGGCCAAGACGGGTTAATGCTTTTGCGGACTATCTGCTTTGGGTCTACGGACCAGGATGGTCTGCCTGTCATAGCGTGGGATGCCGAAGTGCAGCTTCCAGCCAGGTTTTAAACCTGTCCCAAGTTTCGCTGGCAAAGAACCACACGCACTTTGCAGCGAAGGAAAGTGAAAGTGAAAGTTCTCTCTGAGGACTATGGAGCTGTTGAGCCTTCACTTTCAGCACGTTCAACTTGTCAAGAACAGAGGCACCGCTGTCATTGCTATCACTAATTCAAAGACTTCGCGGAGCCTGCAGCAATCGCTATCGCTGCATGAGCCAGCTTAGGTCGCTGTTCTGGATTTTCTGTGGAGCCGGTCACTCAAAGACTTATCCTTCGCGGCTCTCTCCTGGCCTTTCGTTCAGCCTTCGCGGCCTTAGTTCGATCGTTCAACTTCTCTTGCCCGCCCGCGTCGCCGCCCTCCAGCAATCGTTTTCAGCATTTTGGCGGGATGGCCGCGCCAGGATGACTTGTTTGTGGACAAGTTGCAGTTGGAGGTTGGTGCAAGGCCAGTTTTTGTGGCTCCCAGTTGCCACGGCCCAGGCTTTTAAGGAATTTGTACAGACTCCTTTGTCTGTTAGGCCTTCACAAACTTGACTTAATGCCAGCCTCCCCGGAAAAAAAAGTTTGGCTGACTTTTGCGTGAGAAAGTTATATGTTGAAAGTGCGTGTGCTGTTGCTGCGCTGCATGTTTGCTGAGCCGCGATTTCGATACTGGTAGCGGAGCCGGTCCCAGGACGAGCAGTGGGCGCACTTGGCATGCTGTGGATTCTGCGCTTGTAGTGTTTTTGACCGTGTAGCTTCTGCCTGCTTTCTGTCTGATGTGTTGCCTCATCAGGTTCTTGGCCTCTCCCCTTCCCCTGCGTCAGGCGGGGTTGTGGGATTTTCACTCTGCTGTCGCTTGTACTTTCTCTGCCAGGTGCGCCCTATTGCCAGGCCTGCTGCTACTGTCTGGCATTCAGTTCTGCGCCTGACCCTTTCTTCTGTCTGTGCCTCCTCTGCCCGCCGGTTTTTTCTGTTTTTGGAACGCAGACCGTCGCAAGTCTAGCGGGGCGCAACAGGTGGCGCCCGGCTGCAGAGCAGCATGCTCAAGAGTGAGACCGGACTCAAGAGTACCGTGCAAAGAATCCCTAGAGCATCACAGTGTGTGAGTACGGAAGCGCAGAAGTACAGGCGCAGTCAAAGCAACCTCGCGGAAGCTACCAACGAATGTCAGCGTTTCAGTAGCTCAGAACAATGGGAACTTCGCCGAAAGAGTGCGCGGCTGCCTCGCGACAAAAGAGCCGTCGCGCTGATCATTTTCCCGTCAGTAGCGCGTTGAAAACCCAGAGCAGCCTGCGCCTGGCTATCAGCCTCTGACCATACGTCCGGGCGATCCGCAGCGTACGCAACCAACAGCAAGCGATCACCGTCCCAGTCCACCGTACCATGCAAAAGATGAGAATCCATCAGGACACATGGCAGGGTGATGTCAAAAATTGTGCCAAAACGATAGTGGTCACACATCACGTGAGTTTGCACTGTTTCAGACATCCGCAAACCTCCGCCGCGCCATCTGGAGCATGGCAGTAGAAGGTCTTGCCGTGATGGCGCATTGCTGCAATCCGCGTGTAACGCCATACGTGTGTTCAGATGTAGCGCGAAGACGCTGAAAATGTGATTGTAGCAGCTGCATCTGACCACTTCGACCAGTAGCCTGGGCGCCTGTGGAAACAATTTTGTAGCCCTTTTGATGCCGCAAATTCCACCCATCGCAAAGGCATTCACGGAAAACCCCACAACGGCAGATGTGGCCCTGTAGGGCTTTCTTGTTGCGAGGTGACAGTCTCCAGACATCCATCAAGGTTAGAACAGGAAACATGAATAGGCTGTAGGGCTCGTGATTTCTTGTAACTAGGTGACAAGAAGGACTCTTTAATCCCAGTGGATCTGGAATGCAACGAGCTGGTAGAGTTGACGTGCTGGATCCGGTCCAGACAAGGAGCGAGGAACAGAAAAGACGTCAACGCCAATGCAGCCGGGGCAAAGACAACTGCGAGCAATCTGGTTTGCCCAACAGGAAACCTGCGTGCGGCTTGTGCGCTGCGTGTCACCTGTGTCAAGAACTTGGTCATCAATAGGAGGAGTGAGCAACTCCTCGCCGTGACGCCTGCCTCACCTCCCCGCCCCAACTCCCCCAGCATGACATCTGGTCATTATAACTGCAAAACGGCCCCATCCCCCATTTTTAAGCCGCGCGAGCTTACCTTGCAAACCTGCAGTTTTTTGAATAACCATGCCAACCTCAAAACAGCATCGCCCAATCACCTTGCTTGCAAAGACGTCAAGCTCTTAGCGCCAAACATTGTTCCAATGATGACCTGCCTGAACCGCGCCACCAATCCTCGCCTACTTGCGTGCAGCCCAGCGAGGCCAATCTTAGTGTCAGTTGTCGTGTCTCGGTTCAGGGGCCCTGAACGAGGCCTTACCGCTGCTTGGGTCAGGTTCAGGCCCTAGGTCAGCCAACGCTTTGCCGGATTCATTGCCTTGCCAGACCTCACCTTTTACTGCCTCAAATCAGGTTTTAGGTGCCAGCGCCCCTTTGTCTTCAGTCCGGTCACACCGGATCCCTTGCAGAACACCAGTGGACTTGGGCTATTGCGGGGCAGCCTTCTCCTCTCACGATTCTGTGTAGGATTCTGCCTGGCATCGAATGTCGCCAGCAATGGCGCCGTCAAGCAACCCAGCCGAGCTCCTTCGTCAAGGGGTCAGTTTCTCGCGATACCTGTTGCCCCAAAAATCTCTCCTTGATTGCGGATGAGGTGGGCTAATAATGGATGCCCTGCAGGCTGGAAACTGCCCTCCTGGCAGCCTCTCTAGATCAGGCCAGCCTCGATGGCGCATGCGTTTGGCCTTCCAGCTAACCTTGCACACTGCCCACGGTGCCCGCTCCAAAACCTTCAGCGATGGATCACTTTTGTGCTGGGTTACCTGAAAAAACTAGACACCATTCACAGCCGGCGGACCGAGCAAGGAAAGGGTTCTCGAAGCACATCCGAAGCAGCCGCAGCAGCAGGGGGAGACCCCTCACCCCCGCGAAAGCGGCGGCCAAAGCGAAAACTGAACCCGCCAGCGGCGCAGTAGCCTCCTCTGGTTCCGGATTGCGCGCGGGCCCTCGCCACCGATCAGGCAGGCCTTGTGGACTCTGAATCTTTGAGCGCAACGATCAGCTTTCTGGAGTGGGCTGCTGCCCTCTCGCTGGGTGTCACGTTCCCGCGTGCGTTTCGGTGCCTTTCTGGCTTCGATCTTTTCTTCACATCTTTGCCGCGTGGGCTCTGCCCCTGCTTCCGCTACCTTTCCCCTGCCATTTCCCTCACTTGGAGCTGTTCAATGGCAGTGGCCCCGGGTTGTCGCTTCGTGCCTGGCGCCGCTGGCTGCTTTGAATATCTCCCGCAACTGCGGTGCTTGGCCTGCTTCTAACAGCCTCTGGAAATCTCCGAATACCCACCAGAGCATGTGCCACAAGCGCCTTTAGGATTTTGTGGTTGCGTGTGATCAGCAAAAGAAGCACTACGAACTTCCCCCAGGCCGGTCTGGTCCTGAATTGGCTGCCTATCCCCCATCTGTGCCCTCTGTGCCCCTGCCGGGAAAAGTTTTTCTGGAAGGCCGTCAGGTTGCCAGGTGTACAATGCTGAAGGTTTGCTTGTGCCA